TCTTTGACCTTAACTGGCCATCTCTGGACCTTCTGGTCTGCGTAGTGATCTAAGCATTGCGAACTAATTTTATGGTATAAGTCACATGAACAAGCCAGTGAATACTGCATATTATATAGTGGAGGCGGTTGGTTTCGATCTGACTATGTCTAACTTGTCAGCCGAAGCTACCACAGTGCTACCTTGTTCGGTGAATTACTGATGTTTGGTGAACCCTACAATAACACAAACATAACTAGTAAACAAAATGCTGGATCAATGCTGCATCATTATCAAACTTAAGATAGTGACTTGAGATAGTGAGTTCTGGCATTACAGACTGTGTTAATGCATCTTCTACATCTGCAGGCGTAGTTAAAAGGCACGCCCGAACGTGCAAATGCTCAATCCTGACAAGCCAGTCTTGGTGGTTTAAAACTGGACCCAGCTGTCCTGGATCATTGGGATTTGAGTGAATGGTTAAAACCATTCCATAGGCTAATGCAACAGCTGTTCTACAAACGCTGCACTAGATATCTTACTACATACTGCATTCATCCTTCGCTAATATTTAAGTTGAAATTCGCCTTTTGGTGTTCTTATCTCAATAGGTGATTAAAATCATTCCGAATCATCAGGAACTCAAATCTCCTGTAAACTCTTCCCTGCGTTATACTTCTTCTTTGTCTCTCCTCAGGTAATTGTGTGAACCAATAGATGATCGGCCAGGGAGAGATCAGCTGATGTTACGGTGTTTACGTGGAAGTGGAAGCTTCCACAACTTCCTGCGCCTCCGGGCAGTTATGATCCTGCTTCCGGCTCGTAGTGCGGAACATGGTCGTTTGACAAGCTCCAAGGAACAGATGCATCGCGTTTCTTTGTTTTGTGAAAGTGTTTTAGTTGTGAGTAAAAGTTGGCAGTACCCGTAGTCTTGTAGTTTTGGCACGGTGTGATTTATATTTGAGGTGTGTATCCATGCCCAGTTCTGAAATGATTTTTATTACAATGTAATAAAATTTTATAATAACAACGATGTATCAATCAATCACAACTATTACGAAAGTTCATTTAGTAGCGTATTTAAGCTTAATATTAATATCCTGTATGTAGATTTGGAATGGAAAGATGTGATCTGAGTGTTATGTTGTGCGGTAGCTGACTTAGATAAACTCTTAATATAGTCAGGACCATTTTTTTCTCTCGTATCTACGCCAGTGGCATTTTTGTTATGAAGTCATTTCAAACACTTTTAAGGGAAAGTGGTCCAAACCCAAATCCAAAGTTTTGTGGATGTGCCGGGATTGAACCCCTTCCGCACCGAAATCCGAGATGGTAACCACTAGGCTAGCAACCCAAGAAGCCTAAGTATTAATACCAGCTTAGTATCCTAATGTTTTGAACTATCAAATGTTCTGACTTTTCTCAGGATTGAATCGATGACATTCTGATTACTAATCAAGCACTGTAACTTATTACCTAATGAGCTTCCCAACTAATACATGTCTTACGTAAAAACCGTGGCCTGTTCAGCCAACCACAAGGGATTATGCGAGATGTAAAGAATCTTTAACGTAACCAATTTGTGCTGAGTCGTAAAGTATAATTTTTATATTCGTATGAATAAAAAATAAAACAATTTTGTTTTTAACTTTGCTTCACATGGCTAAGTCCAAGGTTTGGCACAAGCCTTGTTTGAGATTAAACATTGTTGGGTGGCTGAATGGTTGTGGTGCTCTCCTGACAAGAAATTCGCCAGTTAGAACATCAGATTATTCAGTAGCTTATTGATGGTTTAAAACTCCACCCAGTCCTTAATCATTGGGGTTTTATCATCCAGGCTAATGAACCAGCTGATTCTAGTCTGTAATAAAGCCATACAAATCGTTCAATCCATTTTAAACCCACCATGCGGTCATATTAAACTTTACGCGTCACGAATCAAGTGACTGTTTCGGTCAAATTCAATATTTATTATTTTGTGCCTACAAGTTATAATAACATTATGAACTGCTGAGTAAAGACCGGTTTCCAGACGACCTTGTACTTGACCTACGCATCACCCACGTTCAGAGTTGTGTAAATACAGTCAGTTTACAAGCAGGGCCCCCAATAAGCCTCGTACTTTAAAGAAACTTCTGAATTGTTTTCTTGTTTATTGTATTGTACCGTAACCAACGTTTGGATTTTGTTTTTTATATTTTCTATAAAAATTATTGTTGTACTTATTTTGTTTTAACCGTTGTGCAATCCGGTATTACGACAAAACATATGGTATTTAGAAGGAATGAAAGCCACCTCTTCGTAAAGAATATCAGTTAAGAACATAAAAGAGTCGCAGTATGTGGTAGCTATCGTGTGACAACTGCAGGACCATGGGACAATATCGGAGAAAGTGCAATGTTCAGGACTGCTAAACTGAATTCGGCGAAAGTATGAGACTGGGCTCCGAAGCATTCTCCATTGTACGTCAGATTAAAAAACAACACCGATCTAGCCGTAACGAAGCTTCTAAGTTCTTTTTGTGCTACGAACTCTGAAAAGCCCAACCTTATTGAAAACATATCCGACGCAGTTTCACAAATTCACGTGTTATTTACAATTCTTTTGTTAGTGAACTTCAAAGAAAATTTTATGTTTATTAAATGCCTGTATGGATACATGCCTGTATGGTACATATGAATGACACAAGATACATAATAATATGAATATCTATAGGCCCTACATTTTTTACGACCGTTATAAGTTAAATATCATTTGGGATTCGACAAACGCAATGAATATCTTACTTATTCAATTATGAATATCTCAACCAATACCTATGTTGATATTTGTTATTAAAAGAGTTAGGTTTTATGAGGAAACACCAATTTATACAAATACAAACTTATCACCTGCATTTTCCCATGTCCTACTCTTTTAGCTTTGCGTAATATAAAAGTATAGGAGGAATTTCTCTAGTAAAACCAGCAGATTTTCACGATCTTGTTGTACGAAATTCAATGTTTTCAAAATACAGTCCGAGTACCTGAATAGCTCTACTTATTTAAACAGTTTTCATAATATTCTATTATAATGATTTACTATTATAACACCATCAGGTACTTTTATAGTTTAAAAGACGATTCTTGACATCGTTTTAGCTAATCTAATGATAGATTGAGAGGCCAAAGGTCAAATCACAGAATTTTTTATCTGTTTTGACTGTTCATTGAGATAAGAGTGAAATAGCTTGAGACTAGAGAGTATCAATCAATTACCTTTCTGGCAATCACGACTCTGTGACGAGACGAAGCAATATGCAATGTAACCAGGAATTACACAAGGTATACACCTTAATTGAGGTGCTTGCTTTGATGTAGTGATACATTGCGGTACTTAGACCTTGAGATTACATTGTTTTATAGCCTAAGATATAATTTATAAGTATGCATAGTATAAGGAATAATATTAGTGCACTTAAATAATTTGAAAATGTGTTGTTAATGGTTATATTTCCATCAATTAATTCATGTCATCGGAAGGTATTCTAAAAAGTGTTTGACCAATCGTATTTCTATCAAAGCACTCGATCTGTGTAGCTTTGTTATAAACTGATACCAGATCCTTCCACTTATTAAGCATTACTATAACAAATGTGCAATTTGCACAATTTAATATGATCCAAATCTTGTTTCTGAGGCGAAATAAATCCAACGCAATATCCATTACGTTTTTAAGGTTATGTTGTAGGTGAACGGAACAACTAATTAACAATAAATTTGTCAATTTTAGTTCCACACAATTTTCCTTTAATCAGGGCTACCACAATCAGGCCAGTTGTAAAAAAATAACCTGATTGAAATACGTTTTTATAAGCTATTTGATCTCTTCTCTACTAATTTTTTCTGGATTGGAACTGTGCCTTTTGAAAAGTAGTTCTTTACTATGTTCAATCTCTCTAAACACTCTATAAAGTCACGCCCGTATCTACTTAATCATCAATAGGTGTGTAGTTATTTAAATAACTTGTGTCATTTAAATTGCTTATGCAGGCACACATTCTTCTGCAGTGAAACCCCTGATGTCTACGCGACGTCACCTCTTTAGGCACCCACGAACTGAAAGTGCCGTGCGTACGTGATTGACTATTCTGACTTGAATCGATTTCGTAACGGTTAAACGACAAGGAAATCGACAACTATCGATGACGATTGATTCCCTTCGTTCCACTAGAGCTTCCTTTTCCGGTTCTTTATACATGATTTAGATGAAGATTGAATATTTTCATGCAAGAAATTGAATAGTTTTTAACGGCGTTTTTTGATTATAAATGGGACTTTTGGATTTGTAAAAGGTTTAGGAGGAAACTATATGTATACTGGTACTCCTGTATCCGGCAGCGCAAATTGTTCTGTTTACATCAATAAAAAAACCTGTGTTGAATGTTATCGAAAAAATTCGTGGTTATAATCTTTGACATAAAATTGAATAGTTCTCAAAAAGGGGGATTAAAAGGGAGCTTTTATAGTATGGTCTATAAATTGTCCTGACTTAAATATGTATGGTTTCCTTTCTTCTGTGTTCATGTTTTAACATATTTTGGAAAACTTGTTTCACTAAATAAAACCCCGAATTCAGCCAATCTAAGCTAAATAACTAGATATATTTATTTTTAACAACGAATTTGAATATTTCATAAAAAGTGGCTGTAGTGTTTCATGTATATACTACTTGTATGTTTAATCTTTGGGTAAATCACACGAAAAATTACCATCAAATAAGTTAATGTAGAACAAATGATGGCAACATTGAGACGTAATAATTATGTATACAAACGTTTACGTGTTATAGTTAAAAATATATCAATCTGTTTTGCATAAAAAAAGAAGTCAATGATAATTTTTCGTTTAGTTAAAAAAAAAACACACACACACATGTGATTTTAGTTTTACTCAAAATTGATTTAATTGTGTTTTATTTGTTGTTTTTGATTTTAACTCAACTGATTTGTTAAAAAAAATAATTAGTTTTTTTATTTTTAGGTTTGATAGAAAGAGCCAAAGTCCGCCAGATGTCAACTACCAAAGAGCCTCCCCCACTTGTTTACGTCTACCAAACACCTCGTCAGAACAGAAAACCTTCCAGGCAGTTCAGGTACAGTTAAGAAATCTATAATGGTAATTACTATCTTATTGGCGCATTACAAAAGGTTTGCGACATATGGATCAAATATTAAAACTATGATAAACGAGTTGGTTTATGAAGGTGAAGAATATAAATCCTTAAAAAGCAGAAAAGGTATTAACTGTTGCAGAGAGAAGATACTGTACACAAGGTTTTAAAGGTCTAGGAAAATCAGCTGATTGGGAGATGAAGAGAAAAGTTCCCGGGGAAACAAAAAGGGAGTGAGGAAAATGCAGGCATAGAAGAAAGTCGAAAAATGAAAGAGAAAGGACGAAGAGAACTAATTCATATAATAACTTCAGTGGACCCACTGTAACGTCATGAATATAAGAAGACGAAAGATAAATTGAATGCGATGAATTTGGTATCGAAAGATAAAGATCTCATGAAATACAGCCAGATTTTCATGATACAGAGAGAAGGTACTGAGGGCTTGTAGATTGAAGAATCAGCTATTTGGGAGATGGGAGAGGATTCCTCAAGGGAGAAACCGAACAAGCTGATAACACTAACCATGGACGGGATGGGGAGAAAAGACAGAATTAGAACGCAGTGTGTAGTAATAAATATATCTGAGGTCTCTAGACATACATAACTGAGGAGAGCTTGTGGAAGACTAAAATTTTAGCATGCTCTAAGACCAATCACAACATTTAAAACTGTTGTAAATACAAATACTACCAATTTGTCTGGATTTGTATCACGTAAATATAAAGCACCACTGTTATCTACGAATTATTATGACTTGGCCATTGGAGTCCAATTTTGCTCAAAATACGAAGATAGAATACGTGTTTCAACTAAAACGGAATATAACAACTAATTCTATAGAAAGAACAAATTTATATTAAACACATCTACACTGCGGGATAAATGATTAACATGGATCCCCTATATTGAGTTGTAATTGGCAATAGTTTCTGATCAGAAGGTGTTATTAGCTCATTCAGGATTACTATATTGAATCACCAAACCAAATTAAATGGAATGGTTCGGAAACCCAAAATCTGATTTTTATCATTTAATTTACATCCGTATTGAATTGAATGTGCGTAGTTTTGCATTTAAAACCTGGCTTTTCAGTTTATTTTTAAAAGAGTGTGAAGATTTGCTGTTATGGAAAGTTTGTCTATCCATACGTAGTTATTACATAAATATTTTATCCAACATATCTTTTTTACGTTTATGTGGATTAATTTTAGATTTGAATAATTACTTGGTTTTATAGGCCTATATAACCCTAATTTTCCTAAAAAACCAGATCGTAACTGTGGAGTACTTGTGATAGAGACGTTTATATTATATTATTTAATAAATACACTATACAATACTTATTCCTAATCTTTTAAATTTTTGTAACTTTTGGAAGATTTACTTCAATTTAACAATGTATTTCCAGCAATATTCGAGTTTTCTTAGTTATAGTTCTAGTTATAGTTATAGTTATTAGTTATAGTTCTTAGTTCTGAGTTTTCATATATTTATTTCAGAACCTGTCTACACTTTTTAACAGGAATTAAATTATTCCTATTTTAATTGTATTGAAAAAACTGTTTGTGTTCAAAACATTCAATTTTCAAGTTAAAAAGACCGTATTAATATACTTAACTGAAATACTGTTTACTTAATATAAAAATAATCCTTATCTTATGTCCTTATCTCAATGCACCTCGAAAATATCTCGGACAAATAAATACACCTTTCATTATGTTAATAATTGTTACAGGAAAAAGTTACACAGCTAAAATATGTACTAATAATGATTTTTATTATAAATTTGTGTATTTGTTTAAATAAATGTGTTTACTTGGGCCACTGTATATAATTAGCTATACTATGAAGGGTTAAATGGGTTTTGCAATGGATAATTTATTCCTTTTTGCACTTAGCTTGTTTCAATTTGATTCTTTAGATGAAGGTGTAGGCCTAAAGCCATTATCTTAACAGAACCATATTACAAAGACTAATTCTATTGTTTAAAGAACAGAACACAGGAGGAAAGAAATACAGGTAATGATTCGTAAGATTTCTTCCTGTTTTGAATCATTTGGTTGAAAGACGTTGTCACGAGCTCGTTAAAAAGATAATTTGCCTCAAACAAAAAACGCCCGATTTCGTCTAATGTAGAGAAAGGAAAGCAGTGTGTGTTTCTTTTCCAAATAATTTGTATAGAGTTAATAAATGTACACATGGTTAATCGCATCTCTCGTTCTAAATGGCAACAGCAGCTTAGTTTTCGTAATAGGACAGAGTAAAAGAAGAAACCTGTGTTAGTAAGTTAGACCTTGCAAAAAATTAGAGGTTGAAGAAGTAGAGTACAACGGTGTGGAGATTCTGGCTGTAAATAGGTTAGCCAATCTTTTAGAACTTCAACTTTCTCTGGAAGCTGAAGAAGTCATAAGTAACACAGGTATAGGTATTCTTACAACGTCCCAAGAAAGGACAAAGCATATTATTAATCTTATCAGGTTACGTGAAGTAAGTCATATCCCATTTACCACGCTTTTACACAGTTGTCCATAAAACGTCTCCATCCAACTACTTAAACATCCTTATCAAATCCCATTTAAAAACATTAAATACAACAAATCAAAACCATATATCTTAAAACTCTTAGATTATCTACAGAAGAATGTTACATAATGCAATATTTTATTCAGGTAATTAGAAGGCTATTTTCAACCAAAGATAATCATCATTTGAACACACTTTGAAACTCTCAACGAATGTTTACCCTTAAATAATAGTTAATAATCCGTTTTTTTACGGTTTTTTAACTATACATACAATGAAAACATCAAGAATATTGTCCTTAGTGGTAGGCCTACTATTATTTTTGCTAAACTTAAAGTTCAAGGCAATGAGTAAAAACGGTAAATTTCACCTACCATTTAAATTTAGACAAAACCCTTAAATCGCCTCCTTGTGTCCTGCCACCTTGCTACGTCAACCGTAGCACCTGTCCCCAAGGTCCTGTCACAGCTGATTGTTTTTCCTGACCTACTAACACCACCTTGTATACTCGCACACCGTACAAGGCACACGTAACCGGCCGAATGAAAATTACCGTGCGGTATTCCGGCCATGTCGCCTGTGTTATTGACATAGTTACGTGGCGTCTGCTGTATCCAGCTTGACAAATGTTGCTCTTCTTCGGAATAAAAACCAAATTAATTTTATTTGGTAGTTAAATATAGCTGAAAATATAGCTGTAATTCGTTTAATGGTGGTTGAGTCCGTCGTGATTTTATATTTTTTTAAGAAAATAACAACAATTGTTAACATTAATAATCTTCTACTGCAAGCTATAACCACATAAAAAATAGAGTAGGGATTTTTATTCTCCAGTTTTCATTTAATTGTATAAAAAGGTTTAAAGGTAATCACAAGTATTGATTGATTATTGTATTTGTAATATAAAGGTAAACTAAAAGAAGGCGCAACTGATCTACTTCTATCTTAGGAACTATTCATGTTCGGCTTTAAGAAATCAACTAAGTTTGGATCGTCTTTAAAGTAATTATTGAAAGATAAATGGACGTGGGACTTCTGTACTAGAGTTTCTGGTTTATTCCCTGAAAGCATTTCCCACACATATGGAACAACAGCAAATTAATTCGAATAGAACTTATTTGAATTACCCACTTATTATTGCACTTCGGTCGAAATTCTATTTGTTTTCTTATTTTTGAACGAACGATTTAAGGAAATCACTATAATTTACAGTGATTTGTGCTTTCAGTTTGGCTTGAAAAAAGTCGATGTATGCAACAGAAATCGATGATTAACATCAGCGCACTCGGTCAGTGGTGCAATTAAACTTCTCAATTCATTATCAATGGCGACAAATTGAACGCAGGGATATAAAGGAATATCCATAGTAAAGTTGGGTTAGGTGGCAGTGACTTGGTAGCTAAGAACTGCTCACTTTTAACCGTATTTTCATCTATCTAGGAAATAAGATGGACGAGGAAAGCTTTCTTAGTATCGCAGAACTACTCATAACATGTATAGAAGAACTTTAATTTATTTAACAGTGTTAAATACTTAACTAAGTTTGTTTGTGGTAAATGTAGGTGATAATGTAAATGTTGATACGTTCACCCTCCCAAGAGAACCATCATATAGTTTAAACAACGTAATCATGTAAGCGAACCTAATCCTTGCTATAAAGGAGGCTCTGGCGTTGAGAAAGGATAATCCTTTAACAGCCTTCTACTAATCAATAAACCCATCCAGCAGGATTTGCATAATGGAAAGTAACACATCACAATATAGTTCATAATGTGTTTATTGTAAGCTGCATGTCAGCAGAAAAAATGTGTGTCTATGTTTTATACCAGTCACTCTACCTCTACCTGTGCTTCCCAACAACGGGGGGGGGGGGGGGGATTATGTGTTATTTTTTTCAGTTCAAGTAAAAAAAGTTTCATACTTAACCATTCACTATAGAAACTAAATACAAAGCTATTCAACTTCCAATAAATACATTGATTAGGGAATTTAGAAGGACATTTTTTCTCTTTACCGTAGGAATAGGCCGCAAAAACTTGGCGATCTTGTAATGATACGCCTATAATAGCATAGCCTCTTGTAAAGAAGGCTATGCTGTTAGTCATAATGACGAAATTCATATGTACAGCTTAGTTAAACGAAAATGTCTTACTCAATAAGTTGTGTGTCAGAGTAAAATTAATGACTTCGTCGAATTAAATGGAAATAGTGCAAATGTAAATACTGTATTATAGTTTATTTAATTAATTGTCATCATTGACACCAATAAAGCAGTACACCGGAAATCTTAGACGTTCACAAGGCGAAGACTTAGTATTTTATAGTATAGAACATAAATATGCCTATATGTTGGATGGGTTCACTTTTGTGTAAAAGTTTAGTCTAATCAATGAAATAATTAGACCGAAGAAACAACTATGGGCATAGAATTTAATTGATGAGTAAATTAACGAATGGGTAAATCTGAATTCCAAATGTAGGCAGAGAATCTTTTTTACGTTACTAGACGATTAGACTTAGTTCATAAAAGTATCTAAAAACGAGAAGCCCGTGGGGTCGAACTCTGATTGAATTATTCAAAAGCAGTTTATAAGTACCGTACGTGTAGAAGCTATTTTTGCATCACAATTATTCATTCAGTATTTTCTGAGATATTATGTTTGGAAGATTGCAACTTCACATTACAATATTGGCATATTCTCTCCTTAAGTGATTTAAGGCTGATACATGCTCCGGTTATCTAAGTAAGTAATTTAAATTCAATACTCCGTAGCAGACATCCCTGAGTACTTATAGAGCAATTTTTTTTAAAGCTACATGCTGCTGGTCGTGGACCTAAGATTAAAATTCTCACGATTAATGTTTTATAATCTAAATATAACGAAGCGGATTTTAATTTGCTTCAACTGCAGTTTGCCGCTGCACGTGCATGATCTAGACTAGTGATAGGGAAGCTAAGATGTAGAACGGATGGATCTTCGACCGAGTTTTATAGAAGTGGTCAAGTAACGGCAACGACGCTGACGAGCCTCTAAGTGGTCCGGATATCATCAGGATCTTGTGACAAACTACAGACAAACTATGATACACTTCTGGGAAACATGATTAATGTTGCTTGTGAAGAATCAGAAATACTGGGTAAAAATAAAATACAGGGTTTTATGATCTAGACTACATAACAGAGTTTCTTCTCTGTTAGATTAAGAGGCATTATTTCAAGCAACATGTTTATGACCTGGATTTTAGATAAATATCAATAAGTAGAGCTAAAACAAGCAAAAACGACACGTTTTGGTGCTGTTTGTATAGGAGTTGTCCTCTTTTCTGTGGAAACTGTGCCCACAGTCAGTGATCGTAGGGAATAATAAATAGTACTAATAAAGGTACCAGCTGATCTTAGTCAGTAAATACCTCGTTGTGTTACCTCGTTTATTAACACAAATCTTTCACTCGTTGTTTTCTTAAAATCATTACCTCTCTAGTGGGTGTTGCCGAAATATAATCCAGTTAATAATCTACGAATTGGTTGGATAACAAGATTAAACAAAAGGTACACCACAGAAACCTATCCTCAAAATATTCTTCAGGTGTCCATAATGATAACATTTCAACTGAGTGAAAGGTATATTACAAACTGATGTAAACAGTGATTAAATGAAGTAATTGGTAGTTAAGCAGCTGATAAGCTAAGTTCCGTCGTGCTTCTTGGGGAAGAAAGCGAAACAAAGAACACTTCCTACTAGCGCCGCGCCGTCACAGTGTTCGGTCAGACCAGAACCATGTTATGTTGAGTGACGAAAGATCCAAGAAATCGTAGATAATGTCCTGGTGCTGTACCAGGTTGATGCAACTTATGTAAGCTATAACAAATAATTAGATAATCAGTCTACTTAAATTATTACGTAGAATAAGTATTACTAGAACATGTGGAACCAATAATAATCTGCAGCCAACTGACCACCCGTTGTTTTACCATTGTAGAATTTTAAAACACAATCTACATCAGTTTATAATGTTCAGCAAAATTGGTAAGTGAAATTTTACTTGATAGTCTCACTAAAAAAATGGCTTTTATTAAAAATCAGGGGAAACTTTTGTTTTAACTGTATACAAATTCAACTACAACGGAATGTATTATTTAAATACGCTATTTTAATTCACTTTAATTCATGCATTCGATTACACACGCCTGTTCTGCTTGTACACATACGTCCTACGACACTCACTCTCTTACACACACACACATACACAACCTCTACTTTCTCCTGACCTTGGTCCTCTCACGTATCACGTTCCACGCTTATTACAGTAGTTTGTTGCTCTTTCATTCATCAATTACGTGCCAGTTTCTTCCGTGCTCGTCCTCGCTGTCAGAGACAGATGACGCCCAGCTGTTAGAGATCGGACTTTCATTCGTGTCATTTAATTTCAAGCTCTAATTTTCATCTGTCGAGTTCTAGTTTCAAAGTATGAAAATGCGTATTTTATGAACCAACAATCGTTATTCCATTACAAAAATTGTTGATTATATGGATCGATTAGTTGATGCTTACAATTCACATTTCAACTATTAGAAGATTTTTGTTATTAGTTTGAATTTATAAAGTTTATTCGATGAATATAAGCTTACATAATACGATACCTATGTATAAATACTATGTGATACAAACTTGGTTTAAATCTGAAGAGCACACGTTTCATTTGAAAATCAACAAGGGTAGGATTCTTAAATCTGAGATGGAGTATATTTCATCCAATCCACAACATCACAGCTTTAGAAGTACGGTAATTCTAACAAGATATCACCATCTAAGTTATGTTACAGAGAATACATCCAGCCAATCTCCACGTCGAGTGAGGAGACGGAGGAAATGTACGACGAATTGTTGTCTTTAGCCAGGAGAAGAAGACATCAGCAACACCAGCCAAGACACTTCGGCCTCAGCACATTCGGCCACCTCAAGATAGACTACTCCTGCAATTGGTCCAACCTGGACAGATATATCGCTCATGTGTAGAGAGACCCACACTGGTGAGTGGCAAACAAGGTTAAACCACACAAAGGTATTTGGTGACATATCATTTGATCTATAGTCGACCACACAACTGTCAACAAAATTAGTATTCGTTAACCGCGTAGAACATATAGATCAAATCAAGGGGGCATAGAAATTGCTGGTACAGAACAAGAAGAACATATAAACCAATATGAGTGTAATTGAGTATAAAGTAATCTTGTATTACTGACTAAGACTACCTGTTTCTTTAGCCAAGACCATAGCCAAATGATCTTGGGTCCAGTTTTAACTTATCAAAACGATTCTGAACACTCAGTATCGAACCGGCGTCTTATGATTCTTAGGCTAGCACTCACTCACCAGACCCTGTCAAGACATATCCAAGTCTCTTGTGCGTTTTCTATCGACGTTTGTTCATCTTATATCCCAGCTGACACTTCCTCATCTATGCTCCAAGTCCTAATTTCCCTGTCAGCGCCTAAGCAACAGTTACAGTTCCTAGTTCAATTTCACTGCACCTGCCTCTCACTCTTCACTTTCTAGACTACACCGAACACCTCTCACTAAGCTGCATCTGACGTCACGTCCAAGTCACCTGATGCTTGAGAGGAATTCTAGGCGCATTATGTTCAGATTTAAATTATTCAATACTAATATAAATATATACGAAATACCCACTTATGGACTTTATTTACATAGCCATTTTTGCTACAAAAGATTAAGACACTAACAAATAAATCCCGTTTGTAAAACTATTTAAATCAATATGATATTTGGGTTACATTTTCATCACAATCAATATATTATACAGGGGTCTTTAAATACACTATATATTTAAATACACTATAAATTAACATCAAATTAATATTTACTTTGTGTGTTCTAGGTGTGGTCATTGTGGACTGATGGATTCCAAAGACGTTTGCTACAAGGTTTTCTGCTTTTTCGTCTGAAATAAGAACTTGCAGATATTGAACACAATTAATGTGTAACTATTTTTAAATTAGCTGTATTATATTTTTGACCATGTGATATATGTATTCCCTGTTTTGCTTCTTAACTGTTGTCCCAATACTGTATGTTATTTTCATGTAAATATGGGATATATATATATGTTATATAAGTATAGAGACATTGTTTGGTTGTCCATTGTGAATCCTTTGTTTTTATACCTTACAGGTATCAATCCATTCATTTGTAACCATAAGTGTATAGCTGTCATAAACCCTGGCTTCAATAACTTTCTATTAATAGTCTGTTGTGGCTCATTTGTATTTACCATATTCGTTTATATGATAACAATAGCATTTGCATTTATATTTGTATTTTTTCTATGTATGTTTTCTTCATAACATTTTTCATTCCTATGTTGTTTTAAAATATTAGTTTTGTAAATAAATATACATTGGTTTTAAACATTTTTTTAACCTTTTTCCCGTGAAGTATACATGGCATTTCTATTTTTAAGGTTTGGTAGGTTTAAAAAAAATTAGGCTAATAATTGTGTTGAGTCATGGATGCAGTGTGCTGCCATGAAATGCATCTTTCCTTATGAACCATTCAATTAATGTCAACTGAAAGAAAAAAGTATGGTTAACATATATTGTCCATCCACTATCATATTATAAACCCAAAAGAGAACATTTTAAGTTGTTAGTGAAAAATGAGACACTTAATCAATTACGTTTTATTTTGAGTAGAACCATTGACTTTAAATAGTTTCAAGTAAACTTCTTATCTTACTATAAATCTGCAGTATACATACAGAAGTTTAACATTAGCACATTCGTTGAGAGAACCATTCAATTATGTTCATTATGATTAAACATACTGAATTAATAGGTTTCTCCTACAGATATGTGAATGAGTTAATACATTTTGGTGTAAATAAACATTTAATTTAATTATTTCATCATAATCCAGTTTTTCAGCTTCAATTTTGTCATCGTCAGACAAATGACGAAGTGTAGTAGGCACTGAACTGTGGTATTTAGTAAACAATATTTAGATTAAAAATCAAAAATAAATAACATCCAACTCATTGTTGAGACTTCGCTAATTTCACCTATCAATATATTTCGACTAAGTCGTATTTCATAATAATTCACAAGTTGAGGTGAAATTATAGCATTTACATTTTTACATTTTACAATTTAGCATTTTAGAAATTTAGCATTTTACATATTTCAAACACAATTGAAAACTCTAACAATATATTCACAGATTAAATAACCAATAAAAATATTAAACATAGTCTACTCGATCGTTTTAAATTGAAATACTCAAATAAATACAAACATAATATTGCAAAACTTTCCTGATTGAGAATAAAAGGATATTATTCAAACGTCATCATTAACTATAGAATTATAAAAGCTCAGCGCTCAGAATTATCCAGGTTCCATTTAAAGTTTAAATAGAAACCAACTACCTCCATTTAGATTACTGTTTTATTCGTTAACGGGTTGTAATTTTTTATTTATATTCATTTATATAATCACAAATGAATACGTTTCATAATACGTTACTTTATAATACGTTATGTTTTTAATAGTTTAACATTTCCATTTATTATAGGTACTAAATTATGAAATGGGGGTATTTCAGAATGCTCAAGCCCCTCTAGGATATAATCTCCAACACTGTCCATAAACATGATAATTTATAAAATTAGAGTCTTACAACGTCTAAGTCTCATAATTTCTAATTCTTTTTTGCATCAACCACGACTGATTGTTTCACATTTTGAGATATTCCTATATTCTAATATTCCTGGGTATTTTTATTAGTGTTTTTTAGAGTTTTAGTGATATGCATAATGAGCTTTTTATTCCTCTTCCACATTGTTTTATTTATGTTTTTGTGAAGAGTGGTAGAATTTGGACATACAAAACGCTCCATTATAAATTAAAGTCACATTTCATCACTTGACGTTAATCTTCCTGACATTACAAACAACCTGTCGTCACTAAGTTACCACTTCTCTTTTTTGGTTACAGAACTGTCGTAAACTTGTTTTAATGCGTTTATTTAACTTGAAACATTTTCAATGTATTCTATTCCCACTTTATTTCATTATAGTGTGTAATAATTTAGAGAATACATAGGTCACAAACTTTTCATTATATTTGCATACACACAGAATCACACCTGACATAATTCTGTTACACATCTTAGGCTCATAATTACTTTTTTTCAAGACATGTTTTCGTTCAAATACCCATTATGTCCACATCACAGATTAATTAAAATAAAACTAATTGTCTGACCACGGGCGTAAAACAAAAACACTGCGTCTAACCAGTCTAACCTTTTCCAATAAAAACAATATTGTTTCTGACAGTTTTGTTTGTCCGAAAAACGCTTTTGGCGTTGAGTCTGAAAATAAATAGTTTGTCATGTTGTTATAAAACGGAATTACTTTTTAGGAACCATTATGGCCATTTACCCTCAGAGCATATTCTGAGTTTTGATTTTATAGCTTATAACCAATAAAATTATTTATATAAAAAATATTATAAATAATAGTTTGAGAACCTTAAACTAAATATCAATTTTAAAGTGGATTTTAAGCCATCAAAAAACAATAATTCTTTAAGCAACAAATTTAGTAATCGAACAATCCAAATATACAGCTCTAGCTCCTAGATAGATTTACTAGATTTACAACAAAATGTACATTTTGTTTTCGTATTTTATATTTATGCTAAGAAAATATTCACTGTACAGAACTATTAAGGCTTAACACAAGTTGTTAGCGTTTTATGTTGCATCAACTACCTCATTGACTCAAATCAAGGTAGAAATTGTCTAAAACTGGTCCATGCAGAAGGGATGTCTCCTTCAGTGTCCAAAGTCAGTTATGTTAGTATTTTCCCATTAAAAAGGGGTTTAAGGGTTTTAGAAAATAAATTTGAGAGTGCTCTTCACAGAGCATCAATTCCTTTTGTTGTATCTTCTTTGACAGGTAGCCCATATGTGAGAGGCAGCGGTAAGTCAGTCTGCCGTGTTATCTCTTCGTGTATTGGGTGTCCACGAAGCCAGGGGGAAGGACCAGCTCCGTGTAGTGGTTGGTCTGGCGGAAGCCTAGTGGTGGGGCGGAGCCCCTGACGATGGTCACCTGTTGTACCGGAGGGTACGGAGGCGACAACGGGCCTGTCAGGTCTTCTACCATCAGGTCTCCTGGACTGCAACATCAGAAGTACAACGTAAGTTTAAGGAACACATACTACTGTGGTAAAGTTGAGGCAAACTGGAGAGTGGAACAGGACTATGACTGGAAAATTTTGGAAAATTTTGGAAAATGATTTGGAAAATATGCAGTTGGTTCCAACATTTAAAGAGTTGATTTATATTTTATTAAATATTTTTATTCATTCTTAAGGTTTTTCACCTCAGCTAAATGTGGACCTTAATAGATCAGAATTAGTGCGTTATGAACTGAATATTCAGCTAAAATTTGCTTCATTAGCTAAATCCTAGATTTTCTTAAAGATATGTTTACCGAACATGACATTGTCTCATTTTACCTCATCTTCATTGCTAACCAAACAAGGTCTGAATGAGTATCGCTACAAAACAAATATTTGCATTATATACAATTGCAAAACTTTTCGTAAATCCTTTCAACTGAACAAAGAAACTTTATCTTTCAGTTATGAGACTGTAAAATTGGAACCACATCTCAAATCATTAGTACCAGATTCCCATGACCATTGCGCCTCTAACAAATAGTTCTAACTTATTAACAGCGAATCCTAGTCAGTACCAAAGTTAAATAGATCATCTCACTCCATTCTGCACTAGTTTTGCATTCATGCTCAACTCAATGTACCTTTCTACCTTAAAGTCCACGATAATGATCAAGCCACAATCACCTCTGTCTATATCAATAACTTGGAAACATAATCCTTTGCAATATAAATGAGTCCACAGTTTATAACCTTTTTAGTGGAATCACACACAATAAGCTTTGAATAATAATGTTGACACTTTGTATAATTTAATATAATATTCAATCGGAATGTTTAGTATTCTAACTTAATTGGGGCAGTATCTTTTTAGAAATCAAATATTGACAGGCAACAGACACACTTTTTTGTATACAAAATTAATTATTAAAGGAACTAGTTATGGATCAATTAGACAAAATGATATAGTTATTGTGATGTTAAAGCTTAGGTTGGCTTCATTTCGGATACCGTAACAAACTGGTACATATTACTGTAAAACGTTTGATGATATAGACATTGACAGTTTTAACGATCCTGGGGTTGTTAGTGTTTGCACAAAACTGCACAAAATTTGTGTAAACTGCCCTTTGACACTGTCTCGCTATTCAATCCTCTTTCTACGGTTGCATAACACTAAACATTGTGTTTGTAAAAAAATAAAATCCTAACCCTCAAATTCTGGACTCGCTTGTTAACGTTATCATTCAACAGTTTTGTGCAATTTTCACGGATTTTGAGGAAACATCGGTTACGTTAAAAACAATTATTTCCTTGAAGCTATATAATAATTATAAATCTTATCACTTATTGCACTCTGGCCTCACAACTATCATGGAGAGTTTGCTAATGTTCTAGTAGAGCATGACTCACATTCGTCAGTTAAGTCTGTTAGTTTTTTTAAGAAAATGTTTACATCCGTATGAAACAGGTTAGTTCATAAACTGTACTTGAGCATACAAACTAAATTAAAACACTTTTAAAGCGTACAGTTCATATAATGTAGGCCTACTGTGTCACTCTGCTATAGTTTAGAAACTACTTATTTATTGATCGATTCTAAAAGCATGTTAATTTTCGTTGATGTTACTCAAATTTGTGTTTAAATTGAATTGAAAGAGAGGAATTAAGCCTATTGACATCTGTAGTAAGATATGTGACATAAAAACGTATGACACGTCATCAATTAGTGCTAAGGTATCAATAGTGAGTAATATTACTCTACAAATTATATTCATATTTCAGTAAGACACATAATTTTCAATGACATCAACTAAGATATAGGCCTACACGCTACGCTTTAAAAATGCATCAAATGTGTCAATTTCACAACTTACTTCGCTATGAAGGCCAGAATAATGACGAAAAAATAAATTATTTGTTCAGATCAAAATAATCGCGTAATATCGAGTTGCTATCAATCATATTGTGAGCTCCCTAATGACCCAATATCAATTAGCTAGTAATCTATTAGCAATACGGCAATAAATACTGCCCTGAATTATTTCATTTTACTTTAATTGATTCATTATTCAGAACAAAAAGCTCTTCTCTGTCGTATTTTTTCTTTCAAAACTAGTTCACTTCTATAACTCGTAGATTATCGTGGGAAAAGCTAGAACCCATAAAATA